AATAGAGTGCGGTGCTATCTAATTCTTTTGTGTATCACTTTATTTTTATACTACTTTTAGAAATCTATTAGTACCTATTCAGCACCTAAAGCACCTATTCAACACCCACAGCACCTATTCAGCACCTATTCAGCACCTGTCCAGCACCTACTAGTAAAATTAGGTGCTGGGAGCCTACATTTACCTTCTTGTGTTTTCGTCGCAGCAACCTGTATTTTATCGATTGTCATGTAAATTGTATCTTTCCCTCAGACTTGAGTTGACTCAGAGTATATTTTTATTCCTTAATACGCACCTAACATTCTCGTGAATTTACTTTGGTTACATTCCCTCAAAGCTACTAAAACAACAAAACATCTTTGTGTATTTTTGTTAAAACACGTAGCACACTTTCGCGAACGAAAATATAGTATTTTCGATCAATCATTCGGTTCTGATGTTTACGTGGCAAGTTTAGCCTATCTCGATTCAATTCGATAGCTATTTGTCAACTCCACCAAATTACAAACTGGAGTATACCTATATACATGTTTCAGATTCAAGTGAAATAAATACATAAATCATTTCATTCGACGAACTACAAACAGCAACCAATCAAGGATTACTCTATAACAGAATTCAGGCACGACCCTCAACATTCACTTTCAACAACCACAACAAGTTGCAAAACAAATAGATAAGTATCATTTGACCTTTTTGTCTGGATCCATTTTTAAATATTCAGCACCATGGATGAAATCAAAAAAAGCATTCATACAAATTGTAAGAAGTTCGATGAAAAACAACTCATTGATTTACTTAATGCAGGTTATCGATTAGATACCAGATTTCATTTACAAATTCTCAGTAAACTAAGATATATCGCACGAGCGTATCATTTGCCAGAAAATATTTGTAGTTACATGTATCAGGATTTACTAGATGAAAATGTTGATTCAGATACTCAGTTAATATTATTACAGGCTATGAAGTATTCGGTTAAGAAAGGTACTTTTAATTTTCAAATCGAGAAACTTCTTGTAGCTTTACAAAGCAAAGATGATAGGAATATTAGATCAGAAATCGTTTGGATTTTAGCTTTACAAGTTAAGAATTCATCCGATGAAAATACGGTCATGAACCAAATAAATAAAGCTTTAGAAGATATCGATCACAATGTGAGCATGGAATCGCTGAGCTATTTGAATGAGCAAACTCGGAGTCGATACAGTACTAGTGAAAGTAGCCGTCGATGTTATAAAAAGCAAGAGATAACAATGCCGGCAGTATATCTTAAGAAATCGAGAAAAGCTATCGTTACTAAGAGCCAACAGACAATAAAAGCAAATTCGAGAAATGAAAAATCCAAAGAATCTACCTATACATTGAATTCTATTGATTTCACTGAGAATCGAAAAGAAATGAAAGGGCGAGATATCGAGCTTTTGCCAAAGCTACCACCTAAAGCCGGAAATAGCAGATCAATACTCCGAAATACTAGAGAAGAAGTTTTGAATCTTTACAATAGAGTTAAGAGTGGAAAGATATTGAAATTAGATGATAAAGATAACTATTTACCATCGAAATTTTTGGGGCTTGAGAAAAAAAGTCTTTTTATAACCGGAATCGAATATATTGGCGGATTACAAACAGATTTACTTATTTCTGAGATATTTCTTATTGTATCAAAAGATCAGTCTTTGAATGATAAAACTATTGATTTGCTCATGGAATGTATTGATGATTTGGATGGATTACAACGGAAAATTGGTAGTGTTTCTAAAAGAGAGAGTGCTATAAAACACTTTAAATATTTTGTAAATCAGAATAAACAGTTATTATCATCTGAATTATTGTACTTTTTCCTTTTCGATGTAGATAAAGATCGCATAGTGGAAAAATTAACATCGAAAGTAAAAAAACTAAGAATCAATGCGGTGTCAACGATTTATAATTGTGTAAAAATAGATAATGCCATACTAACAGGGAAACGTGTGAAAAATATTGAAAAATTCGTCAAAGATGACGATACAGAATTTAAAAATTGGATACTGGAAATACTTACATTAGTTAAGAGCAGCAAAGGTATCGATTATAAAAAGGTATTCAACGAATGTTTGACGTTACTCGGAACGGGTGATAATGCTAGTCATGCAATAAATTATATTCACAATCAGAGTAAAGATATTGAGCGATGCAAAGAATTATTTAATACAGAAACCATTACAATCATGAGTACAGCATTAAGAAAAACAGATTTGAATCTGAATAATATGCTAGTTCTCTGTTCAACGATCAATAATTACTTACAATGTAGTTCTAGTAATGAATTAAATGAATATCAATTAAATAATTACACTTATCTAATAGATTGTAATGAGTATAGTAAAGAATTGAAATTTGAAGCACTAAAATCCTTTTTTCTAGTTGTGGAAAAAGGTAACAAACTACCGGAATTTGTGATACAAAGTCTTAGAGACCAAGTTAATAAAGGAGATGATAGATTCGATAATTTCGTTATTTTAATCTTGGGAATACTTGTTAAAAAGCAATTGATCCCAGGAATTGACTCGCTAGCCAATAAATTGTTAGGAAACAGTGTTATTGTCAGAGACGAAGGAAATGTTCGTTTTGAGAATAATTCTGAAGATGATCAAAATTTCCAATGGGTTTCATCTATACTTGCGCAAATATTTGTGACATGTCTAGAAAAAGATGCTCATATCAACGAACAATCTATTGAATATCTCATAAAAGCTCTTCATAGTGATGATAAGCAAACTCGTATTCTATCAGCTAAATCACTATATTTAGCATCGAAAACTCATGAATTCAAGCACGAATTTCTATGTGATATACAAGAGAAAATAGAAAATAAGGTAAATGATATTACTGTTTATTTAACGATTGCTTATGTTAATGGTGTGGAAAGATTATTTTCGATGAATCAATCTATTGCAGCCTGTCATTGGAATTTTTTGCCAAAAATTTATGCTTTCGAAGATCTAGTGTTAGATGAAGATGATTTCAGTGATTTAGTGAATAGCAAAATTGTGTCTTTGTTATCGAACAAAACTATGGATAATCTCTTTGATGACGATGTTTTTGGAATTTTCAATCATATTCTTTTGTTTGAAACTGTCGGTCAGACCGACGTTATCGAAGCACTTCGTAGATATTCAGCGAATAAGTTTCCCATTCCACCTGATGCCATAATTGCCTTAGAAAATGTCATAACTACAAATGAGCTTTCTGGCAAAGTTTTAGAAGTATTCAAAAACATGATTCATAATAAGCAAGCAATCAGTGATAAAGTTTTATATTTTATTACCGATAATCTGTATTTATCCGATGATGATAAGTTAAGAGAGAATTCTTACAATTTACTTAGTATGGCTGATGAAAATCAAGATTTATCCGAAGGAATATTCGATATACTACAAATAGAGAACGCTGGTTTAGCTATTAGTTTGTATTTCTCAGAAGCCAGGGACGCTATTACATTTTTAAGTAAAAAGACTAAGCAAGGCCATCGATTAACAATAAACAGTCTTCAATCATTGATACAAGTTGTTAGTATTTCCAGTAAAATCGATGAAGAGATTTTAAAAATTCTTTTCAATGTTTCAAACAATAGACAGACGATTCCTAATTATTTAATTGAGAGATTGATAATAGAATTCAACCCTATGAGTGAACAACTTGTTTTTATTCGAATATTCGAGACTTTAGTTGGAAACAATCAAAACATACCGCATCAGTTGTTATCGAAATTAGGTGAAGCATTGGATAATCCTTGCATTTGTGATGAGGTATTACTTATTTTTCTACTTACTGGACAAGGCCAGAAACTATCAATAAAAGTTATTCATAAAATTTTGAACAAACTTTCAAACGCAAAGAATGTTTTCACTATGAAACAATGTCTATCCGTTGTTTGTTCAATAGTTGAAAACAATGATTATGTTGAATTTTATCAAAGAACTTTTTCCAGATGCGCTCTTGATCCTATTCAGACCGCTTTTCTACATTGTCTTAAGGCTGACGATCAAGATATCATTCGTAAATGTCTAAGTGGTTTGAAAACATTGGTAATAGTTCATCAAGTTACATTAGAAAATGACATTATTAATACGATTTTGGATCTTTTCCTAAATGATATTGCTGATGAAGCTATAAAAAACGATACTATCATTCTGTTGGGTCAATCAGCATTAGACGACAGTCAGAAAGCCACATGTGATCTCATTTGTTCAAATTACGATCAAAATGATCAATTAATTAATAGATTAATGGAATTAAATACCCTGAAATTGCTACCACAGTATTTCAATCGACTGAGTTTAATTATTGCGAATGAGCCAAAACTTCATATCGAAATCTTGAAAATTCTACTAAAATGCTCGAATAAAGAGGATATACCAGATAAGTTGTTGGATACTGTCTCCTTTTTATTAGCAAGTACCAATACAAAAGAGATCAAATCATTGTGTTGTCAACTTATCAGCGAAGTTGCTAAAGTAGGCAGGAAACTCAGTGACGAAACTATATCACTCATCGTTGTCCAAAATGATGATCTTAAGCCAATGGAAATACTAGAAACAATATCGAAGAATCAGAACCTATCAGAGGACGTGAAAGATAAGATACATTTCCATTCTACTATGAGTTCGGTAACCCATGTTGATATAAAAACTCTCGAGTCACTTTTAAAGAACGTACAAGCCGAATATCAGAAAGATATGCAAATCTCTAGTTTCTCCATTGAGAAATTGCTCTCGTTGGAAACTTCTAACGAAGAAATTTCAAAGGATTTAGAAAAAGATTTGGTCGATACCTATGCGTTAGTTTTAATCCAAAACCCGAAATATGCTTCAAATCAAATTATCATCAATATTTTGGAAAAAGCGATCTTATCGAAACTTCTAAATGAAAATATTCTTCATGCATATAAAGAAATAATCAAACGATCCGAGTACAAATCGGAAAATTTTCTGCGCATTTTACAAATTTTCGCAGATATGTTAAATGAAAACAATGCATTGGTAAGATATCATTTCGATATACTTGTATGCATTGCTTTAGCATCAGAGGTTCATGGAATTTGCAAATTAGAAGCATTAGAAAATAATATTTCTCACAATAACGATATTGTCCGCCATTGGGCATTTCGAGGTTTAAGGTCTGCTTACAAAATGGACATAATATCTAATGACTTTATGGAATGGTGCGATAATATTATTCACAAACTGGAAGAACATACAGGAAGTTCAGTGAGTTTTGATTTCGATTTACTTGAAACAGTTTCAGCATTAAAATATGTTGATTTTGGTAAAATTCACGATAAAGAGCAGGGTCAATGGATAAGAGAACTACTAATTTTTGACTTAGTTGAACGTTTAGAAGGAAGTCAATCTCAACGTTTCCAACTTTATAAAACTTGGCTTGATATTGAGGATCGTGCAAAGGAAAAAAGTACTCGATTATTGAAATTGTTACATCGATTTTTATTAAATATGAACGATGAAATTTTGTTTGATGAATTTTACGAAATAATCGAAGCTTTAAATAAGATTGACTGTGATACTGCATGCCGTATTTTATCAAGTAGTGATAATAAAGTATTATTCGATTTGAGAAAAGAATATCTGATTGTTATTATCAAGCAGCGTTTATCATATGTTAACGATTGTATTAGTGATGAATATATTCAAAATTTAGCACTAGATATAATGTTGCAGCTTGATTTCAGTGTAAGCCGAAAATTGCTTGATGCTCTACAAGTAATCAACAATTTACAGAGTTTTGAAGAGGTTTTTAATTTCGTTGTGAGAAATGAAATCACATCACATGATATTTATGTTAAGAATGTAAGTCTGCCGATATTAAAGCGAACATTAGAAATTAAGCTTCTAGGTAATCAGATAAAAGACACTGATCGACTTAGATTAGGTACTATTTTGGATGGTTTATTAGATCGAAATTGGACTTTTGAACAATTGAATGAATTTTTCATTAAAATGAATCAATCAAAAGGTGTCGATAAGGAGCGACATTTTATATCAGTTCTCGAAATCATCTTACATTATAAAATTATTCCAAACAAGAACTCTGAAAAAATAATAAAAATTCTAGAGAAATCCACAGAATGTTGGCAAAAGGAGATAAATGAAATTGCAGTCGAATCTGTTTTTTCCAATCAGAGTCAAATTAAAACATCAGATGAATTAGTACAAGAATTACATGATAGCAACAATTTAGAGGATTTAACCAAGAAACACCTGCTTCATTTAATAGAATCAATAAAAAATCCACAATTGCTCTCTGAACTTCGTGAAGACCCTCTACAAAATCGATCGAATTTTGATTTGCCAATTTCACAGTGGAACGAAGATCTTATAGGTCAGTGGGCCAATCTTATTAAGAAGAATCACGAAAAATACTGTAAAGATTTCGACAAGTTTATTATCGAAACACTTGCTGTAATAAAACAAGCTAGTCTTAAAGATACAGGTTTTCACTTAACAGATGCACAAATCCTTGGTTGTTTACTTATTTTAAATTCAAAGAAGAATCAGGGTAGACTGCTCCAAGTAGGAACAGGCGAAGGTAAATCAACTATTATCAGTGCATTAGCAGTGTTCTATGCTTTGCAAGGAAGAAAAGTAGATATTATAACTAGCTCGCCTGTTCTTGCAGAACGCGACGCCAAAGAAAAGCAGAAATTCTACAATATGTTCTCCATTGGATGTAGTCCTAATAATGATAAGGCAGTTTATATATCAGGTGCGAAAAAGTGTTATAAAAAAGAAATTGTTTATGGTGAACTTGCGCAATTTCAATTCGACACTCTAAGAACAGAATACGCTCAGCTGTATACTCTAGGTGGAAGAACATGCGACGTCGCTATTGTGGATGAAGTTGACAGTATGCTTATAGATGATGGTTCGAAAATCGCGCGATTAGCATCGAGTGTATCAGGTTTAGATCAATTACAGATCATTTATCATTTATTATGGAATCAACTTGTCTTTATAAGAGGGAAAATCATTCTTATAAATGATAAAATGTATCTATTTTATGGAAAAATACAGTTTAAGGAGAAGAATATTGTTCTTGAATATGAGAGTGAAAATGGGGATTTAACGATTATTTCAGACTTGAAGGCTTATCTACAATCTACATCCGATATAAGAAATATAGGAGTACGCATACCAGATGATGATCAGGGTGACGCATTCATTAAAAAGAATCTGGATGACTATATTAGGAAATATATTGTGGAAAATATGAAAATACCCATAAATTTCCTAGAATTTATCGACACACAAATACCCAAATGGATAGATAGTGCTATAACTGCGATGGCCTATCAGGAGAATGTACATTATGTTGTGCATGAGGGTCTGATTAAACCAGTCGATTATTTTAGTACAGGTATTGTTCAGGGTTCATCAAATTGGAGTGATGGTTTACATCAGTTTTTGCAAATAAAACATGAACTAAGAATGACATCTGAAACATTCACGACAAATTTTCTATCAAATAAGGCATACTTGACAAGATATGGTTTGAATTTATTTGGTCTGACAGGTACACTCGGTTCAGAAAAAGCTAAAGAGGTCTTAGCTGATGCCTATAATGTAGATTCTGTTATTATTCCTAGTTTACGTCAAAAGCAACACCTTTCATTGCCTGATATTGTAGTAACTAGTGAGCAGGATTGGCTAAGACAAATTTGTCGTTCAGCACAAAACGAATCGATCAAAGGACGAGGTACTTTAATTATCTGTGAGACCATTGAGTATTGTAAACTCCTAGCAGAAAATCTTCAAGAAAAATACCACTTGAGAGCGATTAAAATATATACAATGAACAATATTAATCAAGAAAAAAATGTTGAAAATGTCAGCCAGGGTGAAATCATTGTAGCAACGAATCTGGCTGGACGTGGTACAGACATAAAAACAGAAGATATTGAAAAATACGGTGGTCTTCATGTTATTATAACATTCATACCGCCAAATAAACGTGTTGAAGAACAGGCTATTGGTAGAACTTCACGACAAGGTAAAAGAGGTACAAGTCAAAGAATTTTGAATGTAGCTAGTTTAGTACAGAATAAAGACTTTGACGTGCAGAAAATCACACAGTTTCGAGATGGAATTGAAGCACAAATGTTAGATGAATTTTCAAAAAATGAATTGCAATCAATTAATTTGAAAGATGAACTATTTTCTAAATTTTGCGTGCTAATAAACGAACTGCGTGAACGAATTAGAAAAGATGCTGGCTATTTGTCAGATGCCTGGCATTGTGTTAAGAACAAATTGGGATATTTCAAACCGTCTGTTGTAGAATTGAACACTCTTCTTAGTGTTGAAGAGCGATGGGCCATGTTCTTACGTAAAATCGATAATGATCAATCGCCTATTGATAGCGAAAGAATCAACAATGAATTTGAAATATTCAGTGAAGAAATACGAAATGATCACAAGAAAGATTGTCTTATGAGAAATCCTTATCATCATATTGCCATAGGTAATGATTTGATCCTGAACGATTCATCGTTAAATAGCAAATATGAACTTGCTTTGAAGCATTTCGATAAAGCTATTGAACTTGATTCAAATTACTGTGCAGCTGCTTTTGTTGGTAGAGGTTGGCTGTTAGTAAAAGGTAAAGAGAAACTGATTGTTTCAAATACACAAGAGTTCGGCTATAAAGAAGCAGCTATACGATCATTTCGTTGTGCACTTGAAATCCTCGCAGAGGAAATGTCTTCACTATCAGCAATTCAAACACTTCTACAGCATAGATCATCAAATGCGAACAGTCTCCTATCGAAACAATTATTGCAGAAAGTTAATATTTTAGGTAATTATTGCACTAGTATCGAAAATACTATAAATACCATTAGAAAGTCTCGTCGATTAATACAGATCAAAGAAGTTATTGATTGTAAAAGTTCGACGTACAATGAAAGTCAAGATGGGACTATCAAAAGAATTATTTTATATGATGGTATTGAGAAGAATATTGGAAAATGGTGTGACATTCGTTTAGTACCATCGGATAGAATTAAGGAATATATAAAAGCAGTTGAGGAGTGTGAAGAAATTTTGATTGCAACAAAAGGAGAAAATACATTTGAAGTTACAAACAGAAACAGTAACTGCCGTACACTAGATCAATGGACCATAAATGATGATGATGAGCTAATTATGAGGCTTTCATCTTTGTCGTTCGATGAGAGTATTCTTGACAAAAATAAGTATTCTAAACTTTATAAGCAAGTCTATGAAAAAGTCGAGTCAAAAACAGGTCAAGTTCGAGCGGATTTTTTAGTACCTCTGCAAATTCTGCCAAGTGATCGAGAATGTGAAATCACTTTTAATGATCTAACTGTTCACAAAGATACGATTACGAAAGATCAAGCAATAAAAGTCATCGATGGTGCGATACCAGAAGGCTTTTTCAGGTCTGCTATTTTAAATAGAGACTATCAAAATATTAGCATTGGTATATATCAAATAAACTCAGAAGTATTCAAAGAGTTTATAAATCCTAATATTGAAATTATAGATGTTACAAAAAAGGTTGCTCTTTCAGAATTAAAAGATAGAAGTTCATTTCGCGTTAATTTAGAGATTCGTGGCGTAGGTAAAGAAATAGAAAAGCAAAACAATATACAAGTAAAACAGGCAATAAAAACTATCAAAGACATACCAGAAGAAAACATAACTTATAATTTAACATTTCTATCAGCTAATAATACATACACAAAAATGAAGGCCGATGTATTAGATAGCACTGAGTTGACGATTGAATTCATTGCTTTGGATAAAACACGAGCTTTAGAAAAATTAAATAAAATAATTTCCCAAACTATCAGTCTTGAGATATTCGATCGTCAAGAAAAAGTTTTGGAAATTTTTGAAGAGGTCGAAATAAAGTATGTTGAGTTATGCGCAACTGGTACCAGAGAAAAAAATATAGACAATATCACGGAATTAGTTGATAAAGTAACAGCAGAAAAGAAGATAAATAAGCGTAAACTGAATACAAAGCTCATTGATTTGGATAAAAGTACAGCCGCTCAGATTATTCAGATGTGTCCAAATGCTAGTTTTAACATTCATTTCAACAAAATAAAATTGGAAAATTTTCTGGATTCACTGAATAATGAATCTATCAACGTCAATTTTCATCGCTTAAGAAGTAAGACAGCTAAAATTCTAATCGAACAGTTGCGCAAGAGAAATTTCGATTTTAATCTGAGTTTTAAAAAATTAACAAGCCTTCAAGCACAATATTTGATAGAGATGGCACCAATCAAGCAGGAAAATATCGAAATAAACAATGTTAAAAGTTTGAGAGAATTATTTATGAATGATGCACGACCAGATTTAGAACTAGCAGAATATTCAGCACGTGGTATTGAATATATCCTGCAAACCAGTGAAAAGGGATTTATTCCCTGGTTAAGTATTGGTATTTTAACCTGCATAGCTACTCTACAAATCGGTTTAGGCGCTCTTTTTATTACAACTGCGTTTGGAGCATCGCTGGGAATGAATGTGATCACTGAGGGAGTAGCAGATATTTTCTACGCTTATAGAACTAGTAGAAGTAGACAGTTTAGTTGGATTGATTATGGAAAACAGAAAGCGGTTAGTCTAATAATTTCAGCTGTAACATTAGGATTCTCATCATTCAAAGATGCGGCTAAGGGAGCTCAGACTTTAGTACAAGGTGCAGAACGAGAAGCACTTGAACAAGCTGGTACAAGATTGATAATGAATGGAAAGTCATCAGGTGCAACATTAATAAAAACAGGAAAAAATTTTCAAAGTCTAGCAGTAAAATATATTAGTGTAAGCTTTGGCGAAGCCGCAGTAAAAGAAGGCTTAAATGCAGTAGCAGATATCGGATCAAATTTTGCATTGGAGCAATTGAAACCTCAGATTTCTGCTTCAATCCAAGACAAAATCACAAATAAATTTTGCCAACCTGATTTGTTAAAAATTTTACGCAAAATGTTTGCCATCGACTTAATAAATAAGCAACAGAAATTGAAAGACAAAATAAATAAAATTGTTGGCGACATTATAAATCCTCGGCACAGTTTTTGGCGTAGACAATGGGAATCTGTGGGTGGTCCGCTATGTAAAGGTATATTATCAAGTGCAGAGAAAATTCGGAGTCCAGCAAGCATGGCTATACGAATTATTGGTATATTAAATGGAATGCATGAGATTATTTCCCTTATTGATAATATTTATAATCAGCTTTTAGAGGAATTAAGGCAAATAGATCACGATTATTTATCGATGCATAGAATTTTACACGATTATTGTGAAATTGCTGAACAAAATACAACAGGAATTGTAACTATATTTAGTAAAAATGGCATCCAAGAAATAAATGATGCTTTAGCAGATAAATGTTTTCAATCAAAACTAAAGAATATCAGTTTTAATGAATTTGAAACAGTCAAACCACGTGTAGTCGAATTTCTAACTTCATTAAATAAAAAAATGTTAGACTTACAAATTGATGATTTTAGCGAAATTATGAAATCGGTATCTGATGTAGTAACAGAACAAATATTACGAATATCCCAATCACAACTTATCTCACCTTTTAGTACATTTGTTGTGAGTGAGTTGACCAATGCAATTTCCGAAAGAATACAGCATCATTTCATTGTCGACCAAAACCAAAATTCAGACAGTCAAAATCAAGAAATCAACGAAAATAAAAATTATGGCTATAATACTATATCAAAGCAAATTCAAGGCAATGCGAAAGACTATACAATAGCATACAGTCAGTGCGAAATTATTTATCATGCATTGCAATCAAAACTAAGTGGAAATCATCGCGGAAAACTCAATAATGAAACAGAAGAATATGTAAAAGGTGTAAGGAATGATAAACCAGCAAGCCTTGCAGATATGATGGGACTTGCTGCCTCTTATGGCTTGGATATAAAAATAGTTGATGATGAGAATTACATCCCAACAGAGGATGATAAGGAAAAGGGTACGCATATCATCGTATTTAGTCCAGGAGAACGAGATGGTCAAGGAAACATTGATATTGGACATTATCGACTTATGCAAGATGATGACACTGATAATCATAATCGAAGGGAAAAAAATGATTGTGGGTACGTTGTTATTCAAAAAATATTAAGTGAACAAGGCGTTGGGAAAACCATTGAAGATCTCCGTAATGATTGTGCTCAAAGCATAAAAGATAGTCCTCAATTATTTTTGACAGCACATCAGGCACAGACGTGGGTCGAAGCTCGTTATCCTGTAAATGCGAACAGTCTGTTATTTATAGGAGGTACCGCATCAAACCAAAGACCTAGATTTGAACTCAATCCAAATAACCCTTGGGTGGGTATTTACGGTGAATTAGATGATCCTTGGTATGGACGAAAATGCCAGTATGAATTAAATCATATTCCACCATTAGATGCACTGAAAGGTACAGATTTTAAGTATATAAGTATGAGAGATTTACCAGTGATAGTGATGGAATATAAAGACCATAGGGACTTTATTTCAACAGGATCCTCCACTGATTCAAAACAACATCGTGACAAAGTTAGGCAGCTCATCAACAGTGGGAAAATGTGCGAGGCACTTAAATTAGAGTTAGAAAAGATGCTAACAAAAAAACATCCTTCGGGAAGATCCTACCGAGAAGAAGTCAAGACATTCATTAATTTTTTGGCAGAGACTAACATAAAAAATGCACCCGCACGGCCAAACGGCAGGACTACTTTCATAACACAAAGCGAGAAAAAAGAATTGCTAACGTATGTATCTGAACTATAAGAAGAGCTCATTAGGATTAAAACTGCATTCATATCCCGGAAAAATGCATGCGTTTGTTTGCTTTTCAGCTTATGCTTTACATACTTTTCCCTTTGTAGTAATTTTTACACTTATATGTACCCTTCTGTATCTCTGTAGTATTTCAAAACAATTTTGATTTTTTACATTATGATTTGAAAGTCCACAATTAGGTACTATAATATGTATCGACAAACATCTTCATTATCGCACTTTTTTGTTCAAATTTTAATTTAACATTAACCACTTGCTTTATCTGTTGTTTTTAAAAATATGATTCATGTAATCTATACTTTGCTATTTTTCTCGATAATTGTATTATCTACGAAATTTGGAATGCCTACGAACTTTCTGATTCAACTAAATGATACTACCATAATATCATCAATTTACAGAAATATTCATTAACTAGAAATGCAAACTTCCAGACACTTCATGAATCCTAGTTATTCAGATTGTTTTTCATCAAGTTAGATCCATTTATCGGTGGCTATATGGTAATACATTACTGTTTTCCAGTGATTCATTACTGAGCATCATAGTGGTACATCAAAAGAAATCCTCATTCAAGGATTCACAAAATGTGTATATTTTGGTTGACAATCAAACAAATTCATCATGTAACAAATAATCAAACCAAAAGCATGAATGATATTACAATTCGTTGCATTTCTCGGTTTCAATACTGAAAATAACTCAGTAGTTGATCATTTTGTTCGTAGAAATTAAGAATTTTTATATTTTTTTCCTTTTGAAATAAAATAGCGTTTTTTTATAATGACTGTTTATTCAAAATATTTTTTTCAATACAAAGATATCATTTCTTTGGAGTCAGATTCCGTATGGTCGACACTTTGAAGAGAAAAGTCATCTGTTAAATCATCAATTTCCCATTTGCCTTCAATTTTGGATCCACCTACGCTATCTAAAGTAGGATGACCAGGGGTGTGGGTGTGGGTGGGTGGGTGTATGAGTGTGGGTGTGGGTGTTAGTCTTTCCTTCACCCACATCCACACCTACAAATGAAACAATCAAAAATTTATACACGACTGTGCCTGTTTCGAGCTGTCATCGATGTCCCACGTTTTTATGGACAAGTTGATGTTGCTGTCATACTGTATGGGAACAACGAGAGCGCAGCATCACACCACAAGAATTGAGAGTGGGGTATGGGTGGGTAAACAGATGAAAACCTACATCCACATCACACACCCATGTCCATACCCGAACACACATATCCACACCCACCCACACTCACACCGATATCCACTCCCACCCACCCCTACACCGACATCCACACCCACCCACCCCTACACCGACATCCACACCCACCCACACTCCACGTAGTAACCAATCAAGAAAGGCATCAGAGGAGATTCAGCCTCATGCGAACACATATCCGCAGGAATATTGATATTGAATGAAATCAGTAGTTCGCCTCTATTGACTGGAAAACAATGATGATTTGCCAATAGAGCGCAGCCAACAGTGAGCCATGCAATACAATAGCGTGTCAATGGCACACTCTGAGTCAGTTTGAATAGAGATTAGGATAACTAGGCAAAAATGATAAAAATTGACTATATGCTGTTAAGAATGTTTTGTTTACAGCAGATTTTATTAAAAGTATTACAAAAAAGAAAAGATATTTTCTCAGAAGGAAAATTAAATTGAAATAAATGAAAAGACATTCAGTGAACTTGCATTGGTCAAGTGCTTAGAATTGATTGTCACACAGAAAAAAGTTCGCCTGTGGTGATAGAAAATGACAGATTTTGTCTTCTTTAAAAGTTCGATAGTCTCTTGTTTGTTTTTTTGTTAATGGATGACACATCATCGACATAGTCACCATGATTTTTGTCGGTTCATATTGAAATGTTACGTTAATTAATTCTGTTGATTTTGTTGTATGACAAAGATAAAATGAACATTTTCTGTCATTATGCAGATCCATTCGTTTATGACATACAATCGAACTTGATTTCTGACATATTTGTGATTGTTCAACATTAATAATTGTTACATTAAATAAATTTGGGAATGGTAATAAACTTTCAAAATCAGTTTCAGCGTTTGGAATTCTTGAGTTAAGATGATTTGTTGGAATGAGAATTTGTTTACTCCATTTTAGCAGTTCAAATTCATTTTCAAAACAGGATATTTTAATATCATCATGATGATTCCACAGTTCTGGACGGCACATACTCACTTTTTCTAGATCACATCGATGATTAGTGATTGGATTCCACAGAAAGTTTGGTATCGTCCAATATCCACCAATTCGAATCGAATGGTGTAAATTGGATAGTGCACTAAAAAGATGCTCCATTCCCAAATGTTGTACTTTTATGCGATGTTCACTTTGCTGCACACAAACCGAAACTGGATTGATCGATCTCCTTCTTCGTCCAGCTGAACAATGATTTTTCTAAAAACAAAGATATTCGACGAATAGTAATATTGTAGTTTTTGCTTACACCATCACACAAACCACCTGGACCTGCGTTCTGACTCATTGCCTCTTGTTCTTTGAACATGAATGCTTCATTCAATTTAGCACAAGGCTGATTCTTTGCAGCAAAACAGTATGCTTCAATGAATAATAATAACAACAACCATGAACAAAAGTTTATGATGAACATAAGAGAAGAACTTTCTGTTCAAAAAAAATCTTTTATGAAACGATAAAATAAAACAACATGTATATGACTGAAGTAATATCTATATATATCAAATTATTATTATTATTCGAAAGGGAAATGCATGA